TTCAAATTATAAAAATATTGAAATCTGTAAAAAAAAACCAGGGTCCAAATTCTCGACAGAATAGCTCTCTAGCTCAGAGTCGTATACGTCCTTTATTTATTTTAACGAAATCAAAATAACCGTTTTTTCGAAAAAAATATCTTTGTTTTTTAAATGTGAGATTTATTTTTCCGTTTTTTTTTGTAAAAAATGAGCATAATTTTTGTAGGTTGTCCACAAAAGAAAGTTTTTTGAAAAATTTAATAAAAATTTTGCTTTGCTATTTGAAAAAAAGTTTGATTTGTTGCCAGACAAAGTACCTTTTTGACGCTGTCAGTGGCAACGAGGGCTTTGTATGCGCTGCCAATGCCAACGCACATGATTTCTAAAATGTCAAACTTTTGTGTTATGAAATGAGTTGAAAATGTCATGTTTTCGTTTGAGGAAAAATAACTCTTTTAGAATAAGAAAATTGTCTATCTGTAGATCAATTGCTTGAGAGGCATTCGAATGTATAAAATCATGCCCAACTCAGGCAATGATGACCTATAACGCGCTGGAAGGACCTAGAAACCAGTTAAATGAGCCTTGCAACAATATTTTAAAAAAAAATGGAAAACCCTATCTTTTTTTTTCGTGGTGACTTTTTGAACACTTAGCAGGCTCTGAAACACATTAGACGGAACTGAGACTTACCGTAACCTTCCAGGCCATTTCCAGGGCTCCATTGGCATTTTCAAAGCATTGTATCGTATAATCCTACAGACTTTCGGAGTGGTTTCTAGAGTTTTCCAGTCTCGGACCAGAAGTATGTAAGCTTTACCAGGACATCATGCTTTCTTATGTCCTGCCAGAGCTTTCTAAGTTTATATATGGTCTAGCGCGCGCTTGAAACGCACATTAAATTTTCGGAAAAATGCAATCCAAGGCTCTACGAGCTAAAAAGTTTTGGAAGTTCCATACTCGAAATCCCTTAGCAACATGCTAGACGATTCTAGAGCTTCCTTTCACATTCCGTATGCACTAAGATCATTTTTTAAGCTCTTCATTACTATACAGGCTGATTCAAATTCGAGGGCGACCATGGGGATCTCAGGAACTGTAAGAGATAGGTAGGTCGTTTAAATTTGGCAAAGTTGCCTATTTTGATGCTTAACAAAATGCAGTTTTGAAACTTGAAAATTCCGACTACTTTCGGAGATATCCGGAAAAAACGATATGTTGCAAAATCGTTTTTATTTTTTACTGATGTTATCTAAACAATTTTTTCAAATTAAATAGCACATTATTATGAGCACTTTTTCCCCTCTACAAGATGCTAGTTTTAAATTTTAAATCCGACGTTTCGTCTCCGGTTAACCATCATCAACTTTGTTTTTATTATGGAAGATATTTTTACTTTTCGTGGCATTTGATAGATAATTTTTTTCTGATTTCAAAAATGTAAACATCACAATTTTTTAATATTGCTAAAATATCTTCTTTTTTGTCTAGAAAATTTTGGCTTGGGTAGTGTACGTACATAGTTTCTTGCGTTTTTACAAATTAATAACACTATTTCTGATTAAAAGATGTTTACATTTTGAAATCAGAGACAAATGCTTTATCAAATGACATAAAAAGTAAAAATGACTTCCATAAGAAAAAACAAAGTTGATGTTGGTTCACTTTACACAAAACGTCCAAAATAAAATTTAAAAGTGGAATCTTATAGAGGGAAAAAAATGGCCGTAATAATGTGTCATTTATTTCGAAATATCTTTTTAAATAACTTCAGTAAAAAATAAAAACGATTTTACAAAATTTGGTTTTTTCAATTTCAAAACTGCATTTTGTTAAGGATGAAAATACGTAACTTTGCCAAATTTAAATAGATTTCCAGGAATCAGGATCAGGAATTGATAATTCATAATAATAAATTACGACGCGTCGACTTTTAGTTAAACAATTTTGGGAAAACTTCAATGCTTTTAGTATTTTGCATATTAAGGTCTTTTTGAAATGTATTGAATCGCTTAATACCGTGAAACCGATACATTCCCAGAAAAATCTGTAAATTCCTAAATTCGTCTGACGTAAATTCTTTTCCAAGACCTAGCAACTCTTTCGAATTTGTAGATACACGCGAGGATACACGTGTAAAATAGTTGAAGCTGAAAATTAATAAAAAGAATAACTTGTATGTCCTTTCTACACCTCCGTACTTTTCCTATCCGAATCCCAGATCAAAAGTTTGCGTCAAATTAAACCCTATTAAATTACAGTTTTTTGAATTTTACCCTTTTGTAACAGGGGTTAGATTTCAGGGTGGGGAACTTCCTGATCGCTTTATTAAGTTTTACTTTTTACAGGAATGTTCGTTTTCTGCCAAAAATGTGTCCACGGCTACCACAACTTCACTGACATACTTGAATACCACTTCCTTAGTAAAATGGATTTATTTGGATCCAACCTGAAAATTTAAAAATTGATCCTTTGACAACACTGATGGCAAATCAATACACAAAATCAAAAATATTGATATATATATATATTGAAATTTAAATCAATCGATCAGTTTCGGCCTTCATTTACAGCCCTCCAAAGCTTCATCGAAAGATCCAATGTCCCAAAATGTTACTGCCATATCAGTGGCTTCTGTCTATTTTACTGGTAAACAACTGCCTTAAATGAACAATAGAAGTATAGAAATATATAGGAAAAGAAATTGAAAGCTCAAAATTTACATATTTAACTCAGTTAGAAGATTTGCGGTACTTAATATTGAATTTAAATGGAAAACTTATTACCTTCTTGGTTACAAGGAAAAATTTCTTTTAAAATATTCAGACAGGTAGTAATGATAATAATAATATAATAAACTTTTTAACGCCGTTAGATTACAATAGGTAACATTGGCGCGTCAATAACAACATACTTTTTATTTGGATTTTCAACTGTGACCCGTGGCGCATATGCAAAAATTTATTTTGGCCCCTTGGAAAACAAGGTTGCCTGTCCTACACCTTGGGAATAGGGGAAAGTTATCGCTTCTGATTAGGACCTGTTCGTGCGCTTTTTTTCACATTTAGAGGTAAACGAATTTTATGTACGTCATTAGATTTACCACATTCGTTTTCTGGAACTCATGTCGCATAGAAGCATAAATACACGTAAATAATTATTACGTTCAAAAATAAAGTATCGATGTGTAACTAATAGATGAGATGTCGGTTTAGTTTTTAATGCATTGTTTGTGCCACAGTATAATTGAATACCGTGAGTTTGACAGGGGTTAACTTTTATGTCGACAGAAAATAATTATCCTGATTAAAAGAGTAGAAATACGTTTACCCGTTCTAACAAAAGAATATAACACATTTACTTGGTCTTTTTGCTGTTGTTCGACGTCAAAACAGCACAGCTGCATAAATTAATTTAAGTTAAAAAAAGTTTAATTAACTTCTCTTTGTTTTGTTGCGTCTCTGCTACATAATGAACAACTGATTTACGTATTTGTATCCTAACACATCCTAAAGCTAGGATTAATAGGGAAATCATATGGTCTAACTATATATATCTAAACCTATACAGGACGGCGCGTTTAAAACTATTGACCTTAACACGAAAGCAAAGGCGATTTTATTTGACATATCAGATACAAGCTCTTGTATTTATTTAACATTCTTAATTTGCACTGCAATTACTTAAGCTGACGCGTCTATAAAACTGGTGAAAATGATCATAAAAGTTTGTCCCGAGTGAGTTCACTACGAATGTGTTAAGAGAGAAATCAGGCCAGCATATATTACTCTTACCTCTTGAACGCATCGTCCATATTTAACTAAAGCACATGATTGAAATTTCTTGCTTGTCACTTCTTATTGTCTTATATACTGCTATGTGCAATTGCAAACGATCACTGAACCACCCACCAACACCTATCCAGCTAGCTCAATTAAACACACGTACCTACTAACAAAATCTTTTTTTAATTCTTTCTGTAAATTCAAAAGATTCCATTGGCCTGCATCTATCCTTTGTTTGAAGTTTTTATTTTATTTTCCTTTATTTTTAAAATTTCTTATCTTATCTCCTGGGTCGTAATTCGGTTTCCATTAAACACAACATAGAACATTTACAGATGAAACAAAATTATTCGACAAAATCAAACAATCAAGCTGAAATAAAAATAGGCACTCAGTGCCGAAGTACAAATACCACGCACCAATCACGATCGATTGAAACAATGAATGAATAGTTTTTCTTATTTTAACCATCGAGTGAATTAGCTTTCACGAGATGGTTGGTTTCCCTTTATCGTTGTGCATATTACAAAACTTTATTTTATCACAGAAATCATATAAATCACTGAAAAGCTTCTGAATTTGATTTAGACGTCAAAAATAGCACTTACAAGGTATGTTTGGAAAGAAACAAGATTTCACGTGAAATCTGAGCATACAACAAAAAATAGTGATTTGCGGTTTAAAGCAATAAAGTCGCTAGCTACTTCGGGCATTTTTTCACATTTTCTAATTAGTACCTACCGTAATCCTTTTCCAGAAACTTCTAACTAAACTTATTCTTTTGCAGATTTTTGCTATTGTATCAAAATTATGCACTGACAGAAATATCTAAAAATTCGATTTTGCGACATATCTAGTTATCTACGCACTTTTTCTGAAAGACAATTAAATTTGATCTCGGAAGACTGCAATACTTCCGAGAAACATCCGAAAAAAACACCCTGCAGAATACATACATTGTCCAACATTTACCGCAAGGATCTTAAAAATTCGTTTTACGACCAATAGACAAGTTGTTGAAGATAAGGTGTAATGATGGATTTTATTACCTCTAAATTAGAGGGTGTCCAAATAAATCTTTTAAGACGAGTACTTATATTAACTACAAAGTAAAATTTCATACCAGACGAATCTTTAATAACCGCTCTCACTCAGGAAGTTAAACTGTTACAAACTAATAAAGTTGTGAAATTTCCACTAAATTACTTTTTAATGAGATTTCCTTGATTTCAGGAAGCTAAAGACACTCTCTGTGATCCTTCGAAGAAGCTGAATTACGACAAATGGAGGAACAGCGGAATTTCTATCAGCTATAAACAATGGTTAGGAATGAAAGAGCACGTTCATCAGGTAGGTAATCGTTTTTTATTACACTTTCGAAAGCTATTTTCCAGCAGTTTTACTATTATTATTAGTTCAAATCGAAATATTTGCCTGTGAAATAAGAAGTTGAGACAATTCTACAATATTCGACTATTCAGACGTGAATGTTGATCATCAGGGTAACAATCGACCTGTCTCACAGAGGTAATTATTTGAGCTCCACGTAACCCACAGGATTAAACAGAGCATAGTTCCTTCGCAAAATTTAGTTCTCCGCTAATTGTGGTATTTAATCCCTTAGTACATTATGTAATAAAATAAGAATATTATTATCGACAGTAATATATTAAGTGCAACATTAACCATCCCTGAAGTATACCTACGGAGCGCGTTAACGTCTCATCCATCACGGAATTTGACAATTTTTGTTAAATTCAGAGCAAAATGGAAAGATACAGGAAAATTAGAAAATACGGTATTATTTTGTTACATTTCTCAATTCTGGTTAAAATTAACATCTGATCACCTCTCTCACAAGTTGAGATGAAATCTATTTCCTATTGGAACATGTCGGTATACCTACTGATGCGCATACTACTAAACTAATGACCTAATTTACAAATGTAATAGGTTTAAGGGATACTTTTAATTTGCAGGGATTTTTATCGCACGTCACTGATGATAGACCATGATCTTGTACATACAAATATATAATGGTGTGCATAATGCAAGATTAATAATTTACTTATCTGGTTATCACTGTTTTTATTGAACAAACATCGTTACTACTCGTACTTCATTGGGGCTTATTAAAGAAATGCGTTCTTTTATTGGGAATGTTATCGTTATTTCAATATCCCTTTGGCGGCCAGAAAATAAGTGCATTAATAACATATTGCAATAAAATTAATCCTACAATAAAATAATGAACTTACGAGTCAATACTCAAATGACTGTAATTCTTTCTTGATCAACTGGGCTGAATTCTACACTTGAAATCACCTGCACCTTTTCCGTGAACAGGCCTATCTCATAATATGAATTTTACCCCCGAACATACAAATATCCTATGTTCAATTCTTAAATACACAAATCAAAAAACGCATGATTTTTGCCCAAAAATGAGGGAAGTTACCAGATTATAGTAACTTTAATGTTAGCGATTGCAGATATCTGTCAAGTATTTGAAATTTGAATTTTCTTTTCCTAATAAATGAAATATACAGGGTGGTGACTTGCGTAACGCAACATAGGGATTTCAATGTAAAACTCATAATATGCGATTATTGGCTCCCCAAATTATTTTAGAGCAAAAATTAATAAAATTATCTTATTTTCTTTATGCATTTGCATTATAATTTTCCGACTGGCATTCTTTCCTTCATCTGTTAACAGTAGGTATCAAACGAACCTTCTACCATTTCTACACTCCCTCCACTCTTCTACCTTCCATTCGCACAAAAATAATTCCAATTCAGATAAACCGCACAACACAACACCTAACTAGTATTTTTACTCTTTTCTTTATTGAAGTTAACTGTCAAATAAATTTTCCTTGAGATCATACCATAAATTCCTCTCCACGTTATCGAGTGTTAAAAATAATTGCTGTGTTAACCACCTGATCGCCCAGTATGACCCACCTAAAAACACAAATTACTGAAAATTACTTCAAAAGGCCACCAAAACCTAGGTTTACAAACAAAATTTAATTACGTTTATTTTTACAAACAATTTTATATAGCATACTCGGCTTGCCCAAATTAGACAAGACTAAATTTACTGGGTTCGTAAACACAAAATTTAACAGCAACAGCACACAACGTACTTAATTCTAAAATTAAACCCAAATACTACCTAAATTAAATATACCCTCAACAATTTCAATGTTCATCAATACCCGCAAATCTTCCGTAAACTCACTATTTTCCCGTCTTATAACACTTGTCTTATCACATAAAACTATTTGATAATAACTATTTGCAGGTGTAATAAGTACATTAATTACTTTCATCGCCTTAGGACATTAGATAAAAGTTCCTGCTTGATATGTTATATGGCTTGGTCAGCCAGTATTTTTGTGATAATTTTCAGGTAATCAATTAATACGGGATGCAAATAGCACCCTGTTACATATTATTCGTATAAGTTTCATTTCCTGCTCGTTTTAGTGTAACTTGACTCCAGATTGTGCTGAAGTTTATGTAACACTTGGGAGAACAAACGCCTACTTACTTATATGTGCAAATTGGAGGAAAAGTTTTGTGGAAAGCTATAAGGTGTCATCTGTTTGGCGTTACAAAATTAAACTTTACACTTGATTTAATACAAACAGTTTGAATGTAATATTTTTCGCAGTTCTAATGTAGGTGACGTAGATACTTTTAAATTTGTATACCTTTTTACTAGAAACGAAAGAGGAGAACATCTAGCAGATGTAATAATAAAATTAATTAATTTTGATCGAGCAACCTCCTATTTTTTAGGCATCTGTCTCAGGTAATACCTAACAAGTATGTACCTAACTAGCACTATAAATGCAGCTCTCCCTACGGTCGTGCTGCAAACAAAGTGCTCATGCGGGAAAATTAACTTACCGAACTAGCTGAAAAAAAAACAAAATATTCCGATTTCCAAAAGACGTGCCTTCAAAATTATTTCACATTAATATTCAATGATTTCCTAGAGACGAGTTATAATAAAACCAGCTGCCGTAGGCCTTCATTAGTATTACCAAATACCTTAATATAATAATACAGGAATCTTGACAGTTGACGGTATTAAACGGTATTAAAGAGTAAAACCGCGCCGTCCCTTTACTGAGCAAAAAATTAAAAAAGAAACTCCCATTTTAAGACGTTTACGTACAAATGAGACATTTTCAGCTGTTCATTTATTTTAAATACGTACTAGCAAATGTTTATGGACAGGTACTCAGAGGAGGAGTCTACCAACTTTTTACTGTTATTTTGTATCTGTTTTTTTTTTTCATGATTTCGAAGAATTGATTTTTTTGGCGTGAATTAACATACAAAAGATTCTACGTTGGTTGGGTGTAACAATATTTTTTAAAGAGTTCGTTTTTTTGGCACGCTAGAATTACCTTTAGAGCTGTCTCAAAAGAAAACCAACCGACCAAATTCTTTATAATGTTACTGTTGTCAATATCTCACAAAGGAATTCTATGCGGGTTACTTTCAAGTTTTTGTAACATTTCGTGGGACGGTAACGATTGTCACAAAACACAACCCTGCCCTTTTACTCATTACCAGTGGCAACGCAATACAGAGGGTTGACACCACCCACTTCTAAGAAAAAGCTCACGACAACCTCTTCGTTGTTCGAACTTACGAAATCGAAAAGGGTTTGAAAATAATCAGGCTGACAATTTTGCCGTAGAATTAGAAGGTTGCAACCCATTTTGTCATTGTGTTGCGAGTGTTTATTATTCAAAAGCGTTAGTGACTGTATTACCACGATACTTACGTTAGTAAATAAACAAATTTGAACTTTTTATACAAATCCAAACCTACTAAATAATAAATTTAAAATAAATTCCCTTACTAATGCAATATGGAATGGGTGGTACTTGGTAACTTTATCGTCACAATAAAATCATTCCACGTAAGTAACATAAAGACTCCGCATTTCTGGTAATATTGAATTTTCAATTGGACATCAGATACGATGTATTTTGAGAGTAAAATGGAGTTCATTCTGAATTAACAGCGTCACTGTATAACTTATTCGGTTAAACAAATCACAGTGGCTCTTTGAGAAAAATTTTACAGATAAAATTTCTTTATATGAAATTCGTGTGTGATTGAGTGGTGTGTTGGTGTTTTAGAAACATTAGCAGTACGCCCACCTAAACCCACTTACAAAAAGGTATTAAACCGCCAACGTGCCATTTATTTACACCACCTGCGTCACTTCGAAAGCACCTTAAAATAAAAGTAAAACAGTAAATTGCAAGGCTGCGTTTTCGATAAAGTATCCAACTTTTTCATTGCACAGCAATTCTCATCCCGCCAACGAAAATCTAATTATTTCTTCTTATTCTTTCAATTAACAATTTACGTTAAGTAATATTCAAAAAAGTGATAAAGAGCGTATCCGCCTTTTAGTACTGTATATTAAACATAAGATCGATAGGTTCTATGACTGATACATCGAATGTAAAAAGATACGCGGATTATCATTTTGCCTGGATTAAGAGTATGTCGTTTCTCCTTTCTAAACAATAATCAAATAGACAGTATAGGAAAGTTGTATGTAACAGGTGCTTCAACCATTTTTCAACAGATCTTCTCCTTTAGAAACATACTGTACTAATCAAATAAATGAATGCGCTGTTAGGAAGTCTATTGAAGCAGAACAGTATTTTCGTTTCCAAGACAAAATGCCATTTGTAATTTATGCCGATTTAGAAAGTATTACAGAAAAGTGCAGAAATTTTTCATTCTAAACATATACCGTTCGGCATTGCTTATTATTTATAGTGTTCATATAATGATCCTTTATCACGATTTAAGTGCTATAGGGGCAATGATTCCATACATTTGTTAAGGAACACTATAGAATTGCACAGTGAGCTAATGAAATCATCAATAACATAATTATTTCTATGGAAAATTTAACTCCTAGTCAGTTTCAACATTTTCTAAATGCGAAAATTTATCACATTTGTCTGAAACTATTTACAGAATTTTACAAGGTTGACATCATAACCACTTTACAGGTAAATATCAAAGACCATCACATTCGGAATGTAATCTAAAGTACACCGATTCTCATATGACACCTGTTGTCTACCACAACTGATCGGGTTATGATTCACATTTCATTATTAGAACATTGGTTACTACAATTCTTGGTCGTGCAAGTCGAGGTGCAAGTATACCTACTAATTTACGTAAGCTTTGTGGGAAGAGGGTCTTTTGGTAAAATTGAACATGAATCGCAATCCAATATATCACCAACCCCTTTCAAATAGTCTTCTAGGACTAATATATTCATAACTAATGATTGGAACCCCACCATGCAGCATAAACATCTTTCATTCAGCTTCGTGGCATATAGATGAAAATTACATTACAGAATTGCGCACTATGAAATTGCTGTATATGTTTTTTCCGAAGAATTAACTATGAAATTATTAAAACCACCTTTCAAGTAGTTAATTATGTTCCGAAATTCACTTTTGAACTTGCTGATTGTATACTAAAAACCAGAACATTCCAATACGGGAGGTGGCGATCATAGAAAAATGTATTTTTAAACAACACTTAACGTTCGTTTCGTTGGTCAGCTTCTGCTCAATTAACAAAATTGCCAAGTTGGTTCAGATAAAGCAACAACTTTGTTTCAAATGTTTCAAATTACTTACATAGTTAATAGTATATTATATACCGCGGGACTGAAGTAGTACTTTTAATCCCGAAGGTAAAGTTTATGGCCCGACCGAAGGGAGGGCCATAATTTACCTGAGGGATTAAGACCACTACTTCAGTCGCAAGGTATATACGATATTTTTCGTACTTCCGAAACTGAAACACTTAATCTGTATGGAGTTAGAGAACGCGTTTTTTCAAAAAATCGCTGCTCAACAAGTTACCATAGGAACTGTCATTGCCAGTGTCATAATTTTGATGGTGGGTGACAAAGGTGTATTTGATATTGATAAAAAGCAGCCAAAGTAGGTAAAGAATTGATACCACCGAAATCCAAAAAACTGTATGAACAGCAGTACGATGCGTTTAAGAAGTAGTGGCGCATACAAAATGTGGAACAACCTACTGAAATTGTTTTGTTAGTAATTTCATCCTTCCGGGATTTTCGCAAAATTTAATCCCGGCGGTACAAAAAGTGACACTTCAGTACTTGCCATAATGGAGTGAAGTTGTCACTTTAGTCTCGGAAGTACGAAAAAAATATTATTATAAGGAAAAACATCTTCACAAGATTACTACGATTTTTAGCTCATGTTGAACTTTAATAAGTCTGTGTTTAAATAACTATACTCAAACCTTTTGTTTTTATAGTCTATGCATTGGAGCACGCCAAAGACCAAGGATCGTATGTTACCAGATTCAGGTGGATCTTCTGGCCCATCCAGTTTGGGAACCGGCATAAGTCCCGCGCATCGTCGAGCTTCTGAAGGGGGTGCTAATTTACATTACGGCGGCCGAACCTCCGCATGGGGTAATGAAGCGCCAAGTGAGATCGTTAACAAGTTCAGAAATTACGAAATTTAATTCACCTCCTTTAGTCAATTATACTATAACTACACGTCCATTTTGTCTAAATGTGTGTACCCGTATTTATATTAAGTGGTCTTATACTACCTAATTCTTGTTTATATAAATTCATTTATTGTATTTTTCTAAAGAAAAATACCGTTAAACAATGCAGGGTCGAAGTGGACCACATATATGAATAGATGATACAAATGGTAATTATGCCTACTTATAAGAAATTAACAAAATTGAAATTTATCATATTATTATTATATGAATATTACAAGAATTGGAAAGATAATATACTTTTATATTGTTCTGTTTTGTAGTACCTATCTACAACTATATTTATTGCGTTGGATAATGTTTAAGTAGTTTCTAGTTGTTCCCCCCTCTGATAAATGTTAATTTGTTAGCTTAAATGGTATTGGTCTTCTGTGTTAAAATAATATACTTAGGGTACCTAATCACTAATTTTAAGAAAAATGATTACTACTATAAATGTGATATTAGTTTTCATACCTAACAAGTATTTGGAAGATATAGGTTAGTCAGAATAGAGGATTTAGGTAGGTCTACCTAGAATGGGAAGAACACAGGTTACGCATTTTTATCGCACTAGCTTTTACCAAAACGTATTAATTTCATTTCTTTATTACAATAGCGTTAAAAAGATTTTGTTTAATTGTTGTGAGTACCTATTCAGTGTTACTGTTGTGTTTATTGTCTTTGTCCTAGCCACTAAGGTATAGCGATTGTAATATGTTATATGATTATTGTGTATTAACGTATAAGTGCTAGAGAAATTTATAATTTATGTTAAAAAGAGTAGCAATCGTAATAGATCGAGTTTTAATCAATTAATGTTATATAAATGTAGCGTTCTAATATTGTGGCCGTGAACACATCATATCTGTAACGTGAAGAAATAAATTATATCTTCCTTAATCAGATTTTTTTAAAGTTGGTTTTCAATTAACCAAGTAATAAAGTTACCTCCTTGCTTCCTAAAAATGGATGTGAATTTGCAGTTCTTTTGGAAGTCATTTCCCTAACAATCAGAAAGGTTTTTTTAAATTAATTAATTGGTTTATTTACTTATTTGAATAGTCTTTAGAGGGAAGTACCAAAATTGAGAGTTTTTTCTCGACTATCCAATATAGGAGAAGGTACTGAACCTGAATTTCAAGTTTGTTGCCTTGCAGCACAGATTTAGAGTATTTAAATCTGTGCTTGCAGCATGCATGCGTGATGCGGCCTGCTTCACAGCAGTAAACGCAATCTTTCCACTTTTTTTAGTTTAGTAGACAATGTGCTTTTCGAAGGTCTACAATCTAGCCTACAACATTTAAATCGATAACATTTCCTATAAAATACATCAGCCGCGTTGGTTTTCCGATAAGCGGTACGGTGCTAGAGCGCACTGAAAACCACAATTTTTTTCGTTCGTAAAAAAATATCTACCCCTACAACGTTAATAACAGGTAGCCCAGAGTACCTTATAAGCAGTTGTTTATATACCAAGGCAAGGTATTAAGGACCACAGTTTCGTGATAGATACTTATGTTAAGGAAGGCCACTTTTTCCGTTCGTCCGTCACTTATACAGTTTTCAAGATAGGTATTTAGTTCGGATTTTTTTGCACTTATGTTTGATTCATTTGCAACAGCAGCAATGTAGAAAAATATCAATTAGAATGGCAGCAATAGGGTCTTCCTGAAAAAAAAATTGTAACTTTTTTGTGTCTTACTGTAAAGTTTATAACCTGTAATTAAACATCTCATATACAAAACTTTTTTTTCTAATTGCAACATGTCAGGAAACAACATACAATATCGTAAAACTTTCAAATTTTGTCATGCAACCGACGACATGCCGATATTGGCCGAGCGTCGCATACGTCACTACGCAAGTTGCCGATCGGGAATTATATTAGTGCATGACACTGATAGGAGTTCGATTCGACTTATTATGGCAATCTGCCATAAACTGAGTTCTGACTGGTTCGTAAAGGGGCAGTTAGATAGTCTCCCAAAGGTTGAAGTGTTAATGGTCGCCGCCTTTTTCTCGAAAAGTGAGTTTTTCCATGCCATGGAGTCAAAGCCCAGAAGCAAATTTGTTATAGTTCATAGGAAGTATAACATCCAGTTTTGTGTGTATAGTGCAAGGTATGGTGTAGGTACCTAATAAAGTATGCACCTTACGGGTTTCAACGAGAAAATTAGGATGTTGGATATGTGGAAGTGAAAATAGAGAAAAATGTGTGCACTGTAAGGGCACAGATATGCCCAGAACAGAGTTTGAAGTAAATCATATTCTGAATTGTAATTACAATATTACATATCGATGGATTTTCGTCGATATGTGACTGAAAGTAAATCGACATTATGTACTTTAATTAATTAGAATCGTCTTAACAACAATACAAATGGGATGTCAAACTCGCGGTATCACGTCGAACTTTTTTCGTATATTTTCTGTTGGGACGTTTATATACAATTTATTAGGTTCGCGATGACTTCTGCTATCACACCCAGGCACAAATGCAATAATTATTCGATGCCTTTTTCCGTAAAAACGACGTTTTCTTTCTCTGAAGCGATTGTAAGCAATGCTACGGCTGAGCGCCAACGTGCGTTGTGACGTCACAGCAACGTGGCGGTCATTCGAAGCTTTTCAAACGCCGTTCATTTTAGAATCGTGTTTGCTAATCACAACGATTTCTCTTGACAAAAAAATGAGTACCACTAATTTTTTTAATGTGCTTGGAGTTCATTTTTAAGGTTTTTGAAAAAACGCGGAAAACCCAATTGGTGATTTTCTTGATGCACTATTGCACGGTACATGAAAATCATAGTTTGATAATAATATATGAATGTGGTAATAGGTGCCCACTATTTATTGTAAAAAATAAACAGTACACAATAGGTAGGGGTTCAGCTAATAACTGCTTTCCCGCTCCATCAAAAACCACAGTTACGGGTCACTCTGTAATTGGGCGCAAACCTGTTGAGGCCCCAGAACAAAAGAGGGATAATATAAATGATAATATATATAAATAACTAAACAGTTATTGTAAGTATCTACATCAGATTTTGTAAATACTCAAAAAAAATAATTACTGAATAAAATACTAAATATTAAACAACATATTGCTCGTTATTAACTAAAGCGTTTACTTTACACTGTGTCCAAGTTAAGGCATGGGGATCTCCGAAACCATAGAAGATACGACTATGGTGAAATTAGAGAAAGATGCGTAATTAAAGAGTTATTATCATGCTTTAAAAGAAAATGGGAAAATTCCGATTACTTCCGAAGATATGTCAGAAAAACCGAAATTTGCCGATTTAGTTTTTATTTTATTTTGTTATTCGAACAGTTTTTCTGGCCTATCTTCCGAAATAATCGGAATTTTCCGATTTCCCTTAAAGCATGTAACAAAGAGTTACATGCTTTAAGCGAAATCGGATGTGCGCCACGGAGCTAGTTGGCTCCTCCTGCAGATTCTAAATTGATCATCTGTTCATAACCTTCTTATGTATGTACGGGTACCAGTAGTTCTTTATTGATCAGGCGAATTTATTATGGTTCTTCTTCTGACTCTATTTCAATTACCATGTCCAACTCTTCACGATTTTCTTCTTCCGTCTTCTGTACCTATTATATGAGCCATAGTTTCAATCAAAAAGCATGATGGATCTACATCTACAGGCGTTATCCCGTAGTGCAAGGAGCAGGTGAAAGAGCAGTTTTAACTCGCTCCAAAATTTGATGTTGCAATCTGGAGGATCGTGTTCGCTACTAAGCCATATTTGCAATTTGTGGTAAACGCCATGCCTCAATAAATAAATATTAGGATGTTATGCAAAATGTAAATAATATAACGAATTGTAACATACCTTAAACAAGTTGTAAATCAGCATATGCATGATGAAAGCGCATTTTTTGGTAATGCAGATCAGTATTTCATACCAAAGTTTTAAATTATCGATTTCACGAGTAATCTAACTGACAATAGACTAGAGCCTGCACATCTACACTGTAACAGAAAGCTTTTAGTGAAAATTTAAAGTCTCTAGCAATAGGGTCTTCCTGAAAAAAAATATTGTAACTTTTTTGTGTCTTACTGTAAAGTTTATAACCTGTAATTAAACATCTCATATACAAAACTTTTTTTCCTAATTGCAGCATGTCAATAAACAACATATAATATCGTAAAACTTTCAAATTTTGTCATGCAACCGACGACATGCCGATATTGGCCGAGCGTCGCATACGTCACTACGCGGGTTGCCGATCGGGAGTTATATTAGTGCACACTGATAGGAGTTCGATTCGACTTATAATGGCAATCTGCCATAAACCGAGTTTTGACTGGTTCGTAAAGGGGCAGTTAGATAGTCTGCCAAAGGTTGAAGTGTTAATGGTCGCCGCCTTTTTCTCGAAAAGTGAGTTTTTCCATGCCACTCGTTTGAGTGGAGTCAAAGCCCAGAAGCAAATCTGTTATGGATCATAGGAAGTATAACATCAAGTTATGTGTGTATAGTGCAAGGTATAGTGTAGGTACCTAATACAGTATGCACCTTACGGATTTCAACGAGAAAATTAGGGTGTTGGATATGTGGAAGTGAAAATAGAGAAAAATGTGTGCGCTGTAAGGGCACAGATATACCCAGAACAGAGTTCGAAGTAAATCATATTCTGAATTACAATTACAATATTATATATCTATGGATTTTCGTCGATAACTGACTGAAAGTAAATAGACATTATGCACTTTAATTAATTAGAATCGTCTTCACAACAATACAAATGGGATTTCAAATTCGCGGTATCACGTCGAACTTTTTTCGTATATTTCCTGTTGGGACGTTTATATACAATTTATTAGGTTCGCGATGACTTCTGCTATCACACCCACCCAGGCACAAATGCAATAATTATTCGACGCTTTTTTCCGTCAAAACGACGTTTTCTTTCTCTGAATCGATTGTAACCAATGCTACGGCTGAATGCCAACGTGCGTAGTGACGTCACAGCAACGTGGCGGTCATTCGAAACTTTTCAAACGACGTTTATTTTAAAATCGTGTTTGCTAATCACAACGATTTCTCTTGACAAAAAAATGAGTACCACTAATTTTTTTAATGTGCTTGGAGTTCATTTTCAAGGTTTTTAAAAAAACGCGGAAAACCCCATTGCTGAGACAGCCAGTCAGTCATAACGAATACAACAGCGTATTTGTTTTCAAAAATGCGCTAATAATTAAGTTGTTATAGTGGTAGCGCTATCTAACAGTAAAATTATAGCCCGAAAACCACATGGAATTTATTTTCTTAAATAATCGATCTCATGTAATCTAACTCAAAATAGACTAGATAAATCTCAGTCGGACAGCCAGCCAGCCATAACGAATATAATAGCGTATTTTTTTCCAAAAATGCGCTAAAAATTGGTGGTTAATACAAGAAAGAAAAAAATGATAACTATCTGTAACTACTCAAACAGAACAAACAAAATAAACATTGAGAAAACCCGCTACGCGTACGTGCACATTTTCACCGCCATCCGAACTATACTAGTCCATAGAGGAAATATTTCCTCTCTGACTGTTCAGTGTTACTCATAGTTTGCACCTCCAGTTCAGATGAAGTATGTATGGGCTCTTAGGGACTTAATGCCACTCTCCGATAACGCTATTCTTGTTCCTAGCCGCAATCATGCCAAACTGACATTTGATTGAATCTGCGAGTAAATTTTTTTACTCGTAGGATTGAATTGAAATATTAAAACACAACATAATTGATAATCTACATGTGCTGTCATTGTTTTCGTTTGGCAAGCAATCAAGCATAGGCACTGTATGTTCATATGCACGATACTGCATCTGATCTGGAGGTGCGAACGCGTTTTAGTAACCACGCTCAATCGCCAACGTTTTCTTGTCTAGCTCCCTGCCTCACTGACCTCTATTTAGAATTTAGATCAGATCAAAGCAAGGTGGATTCATAATCCACCTTGGGTCAAAGTATCTAGAGGGCGTTTCGTATTTTTCTCATAGTGCCTTTCTCTCTGATGTAAGGTGTGTTGTCTAACCGTAGGGGATGTCAGTACAGGGCATCGATTCCCGAAGTTAGTCGATATGCTCCGTGATGCTGCCATGACGTCTGATCGTATACGATAGGAATAAGTTCAAGTTTAGCTGCATTCCCGAATCGCGGACAAACTTTATGACCAAACCAATCACAGACAAAAACTCAGTCAGTTGTGACATTTGCACCTACACAGCTGTTTTTTGTATTTTGTTTTGTTTGAATTTGACTGGCGCCCAAAAAGAAAGCCTCTCTTAATTAGGGTCCAATTAAATTGAGCAACATACGCAGCAACATAAGTTCTTTAGACAAACAAAAATTTTTCCAAGAAATTCATAGCATCGACTCTATTGACATGATGATAATGTAGCGGACGACGATTTTCCTCAAACTCAGCGGCTTCATTAACATGGTTGATGACGTTATTAATAACCAGTGAAATTACATCTCCATCCAAGGATATAGCATTGATTAATAAATCTGAATTATTCAATGGATATAGTCAAAAGAAGAGAGGGACAAATAAAAAAACAGTATCAGACCGAAGAAGGAAAATAGAGAAGTCAATGAATATGAAGCCACACAAGAATTTCAAACCTTTAAATCTCCATGAAACTGCAAAATTTACAAGCAAGCTGTACAGTAGAAGGAAGAACGGAATTGGAAATGATATACACTGAACAAGGGGCGGTCGCCATTAAACCTCCAGTAAAATCCCAATCATAATTATGCTTGTGCATAATGATTGTACAGGTTGAAAGTGGAAATTTAATATAAAAATGAGCTGAAAAGACTATACTAATCGTATATCTCAGCAATCATAAATTCACATAGAAGGGTGGAATTAACAGCTTTTCTTAGGGGGTGCGGATAACATTCTGTTTGCTAAACCCTATTTATTTCATTGCTAGCAGCTATTTGAACTTTAATAAATTTTACGATTTTAACTTGGTATTGCTATAGGAACATGATTCTTTCTTCTTCTTTGGGCAATAAATAGCAAATTTCACATAATACCAAAATTTACAAGACACAAGGCTTTTTTCGATGGATTTGTTCTTGCTTTTTTAATTGGTTTTTTCTGAATCGTTTGACAAAAAGGTTTTAAAGAAGTAATTTTACATATAAAAAACTTTATTAGGAACAATAGGCAAGCATTCACTCAATACAATATCAACTTTGTACAAATTGGTAAATTTTATCGTAATTATTACTTCGATCCTACTTCTCCTCATCAAATTATCATAGTCTTGTCACAAGTATCACTAAATTTCTTGTATTTAAGCTGTTAACTCTGGAGGTGCTTGTTCCAAACCGCATGGTCTTCGAAATTCTTGTCCTTGTTCGTGAATCCACTTATTCGAAACTATAGTGACTTTTAGCAAGATAATTCATAAACTTATATTATATTCTTACCCCATTTAGATCCCGCTAAAACTGGGCATGCTGCATGCCTAGTGTTGAAATCACCTTCACCACTAGGATGTAAGTTATACCAAAAGGCTGCTGTACCTTTCTTTGGCCAAATTGCTGCGTTTATGTTTGGGAATACTGTTGCGCCTCCTTGAGGTACGTCACTCATCTACAAATTAATTGAAAGTGAAACCTATCTTGCTCTGAACCGGTCCTTACATAAAACAAAACTGTAGCAATACGATTTCCAGTTCCTAAGCTTTTAAATGCATTTGTTTCTTCTTTCTAGAATGGCAGTGTGTAGTTTTAGTAACTTGTAACTGTTAACGCTTACCCTTGCAAAATCAAAATGGGGTTCATAGTGACCACCAATACCGTAATTAACCACTTGCAGTTCTTCAGCAGTTTCTACAGTTAAGCCTGTTATATCTGAAACTCTCCTGCAAACGTCATCGATATGCTTGTGCTCCTTTTCCTTTAGCCACGCAGATTTACTAATTCTATATTGTGCAGTTTCCAATTCCCCGGTTTTATAGTTCTGCACCGTAGCTCTTTTAAACTGGAAGTGTGTATATGATTACAATTGGAAGCTTTGGTATTTTGACTTACGCGCGGTGTTGCCATTCTTTTGATTGTATCAATCTCACTGTCGGACATCACATCGTGAAAGATTAAAATTTTTGGATTAGGATATGCCTCTTCAACTTTAAATGGGGCGATTAATAGAAATGGATTATTGTTGTTTGTATAGTAGCACTTCAACTTTGAAGTTATAGCTATGTCGGTTGTAACTTCTCCTCGACAAAGTTGTTCGTATAACTCTCTTTCTGGGTATTGTACTTGTGGAGCCATCTGCTAAAGCGAGAATTAGTGTCTAAAAGTGATAAATACACAAAAAGTGTACCGAGAAAAATACCTCATCATTAATTGGTATATCTTCAGATTCATCATCTCCTTTAATCTTCAGCTCATTCAGTTTTTCCATTTCTTCTTCATAGAAACCTTTATTGCCTAAAGCTCTTGGATGGGCAGGAAATATCTCCAAGAGCTTGTTTGTCAGATCCAAAGCTAATGGTAAATTTCCTGAAACAAAGTACTATAAAGACGCTATTTGATGAAGGTCAACTACCTTGTTTATATGTTGAGAACGCTAAATATTCTAGTATATCACTTTTCTCAACGGTTTTATTGGTCTCAGAATTTAAACGTGAATCGGCTTCTCGCATCCACAACTGTGTGTGATAAAAGTCGCCATTGTTGTAAGACTGTCGTCCTAATTCGAAACAATCTGCCGCACTTAATTCGGAACTATATTTAATCCCGTTGAGCTCGCCACGAGCTAAAGCAGATGTATCAAGATTATATGTATCTTGTAGTCTGGTTAAAGCTACCGCTGCGCCATTTAAATCTTCATCCGTGGGAAATTTCAAATACTCCCTGTACATGGAAATATTTTTTAAATAGTCTACAAAACGATGATTAAAAAATCTAGAGTTTAAAGACCGAATAATTACCATGACCAAGTTGCATGTTCATTAAAGATTCAACATGCTGCCAATCTGTTGTAAGCCTCTTAATTAATATATAAGCATTGATAGGGTTCGCGATGTAATTTTCTATATCTTCTGATGCCTCAGTATGCTGTTGCTTATATATCTCTGAATATCTGACGGAGTTTAATTACAGTTTACGAGTTTAGGTAGTAGATACTCACTTTTGTAATAGTTCTAGTTTTTTGTGTTCTGCTTGAATGTACTGATCCAATGAGTTAATTAAAGTTGACTCTGTGTGGAGAACTTCTTTTAAATCTGCTAGGGCGGTGTAGAGCTCGCAGCTTGTTTGCTTGATTATAAAAGACAGTGCAAGGAACCATGTTAATTGAAACATTCTGAAATGAAGAAGACTTTTGTTTAAATCGGATTTTTACATGTTTTTAGGAAAAATATCGTTCATTTTATGCGTATAACGTAATCAATGTCATCCAATTTAAAAAATTCAGTTGGTTAGTACCACAAAGATAGCTCTGTTTGAAGTCTGAACCTAACGAACGAAAGGCAATGCCAATATATTACTCTTGCAATTACCTTATCACGTCCACATTTTTTGGTGAAAAGTAAAGTATAGCATTCGTAGTCGTCAATATAAAGTAGCTAACAGGCGCGGTTAGAAATGCAATTCTATTTCAGATGTAAATAACGTAAGATAATAAATATGCTTTACGTAGTATATTCGGGATGAGGTAAATGAAGAGGGTCATTGTAAGTAAAATAAACATGAGGCAGCATTATAATTATAAACACATTCGTTGAAATGACTCATTTCGTCATTTGCATTGCGTATCATTAATGCAATAGTGGTAATTAATTATACTTTGTTTACTATCAGCTCAAAAAATTAGGTAAAACTTTGGGCCGAAGACGAAGATCAAAAAGATGAAAAGAAAGTAGGCTCAACAAGTTAAATAATTTAATGGAATGTTATATTTGTTAATAAAAGAGGATTGCTAATAAATAAACGGGTTTGCGAGCATAACTCCCAACATTGAAAGAATTTACATATATTATGAACTGCGTCCCCAAACTAAAATTAAGAACCTCTTCGTGTTTACTTTTAAAGAAAATATCCTAGCACACCCACCCTTTACATAACCATTTTACCTGTCCTTGTATATATTCCCACTTACGAGTGGCGCATGAGTCGCAGAAGCGAGAAGCACTGCATTGCGCATGAATTCGCCATTAAGAATTCCCCATTAAAACAATAGGCGATAAACAATCGTCGTTAAGAACCTATCGAAATGTCAAGATGTCGAAGTAGAGCCATCAATAAAAATGAACGTCCTTGTTAAGAAGCAAGACGTATTCTTATTCGATATTCTTTCATCCTTCTCATGCAATTTATAAATACAGTCCATTTACATTTTAAGTATAGAAGCCCAGGTAAACTTGTTTACTTATTATCCATACTCTCTTTCTCTCTCTAAGGTGGAGTTTATTCGCTTTACTTGGTCCTTTGGGTGGATCCTGAAGAAATAAATTAAGCCACGAGTGAGAAATTATCTCCATAGAGCTACCGTCAAGCTACGGACGAAGAGTTTCGCAGCATTTCCAAGGAGGAAATCAAGAAGATTGAACATTTCCAAGGTGGAACATCACGAGAGAATTCTGTGACCGGTCCCTGCAGAGTCAGATAAAGGCCAGTTCCACATTGAAGAACCAGTTGGCCAGAAGTCTATAGTCGGTCCGTGCAGAGTGTTCAAGCGCTGTACAACTGTATAGGTATTTATGTGAAGACGGTTTAACCACCTACTTGCGATTTGCTTTAAGTTGGTGTTTTTGTGGCCACCGAGTACAGTAGAATTTTGACCTGCGCCTGAAATTCCTGAACATAAACGTATTGTAGTTCGCCTGAGGGACACCTAATTTTATGCAATTGCATTGTCTTTTAATCCCTTAAAAAACTCTTCTTGATTAACTCTTCCTGGAGAACTCTTCCTGAAGAACTCTCCTTATTTAGTCCACGTAGTACAATATTTGTGCTTTTATTATAAACTAAGACAATCTACTAAATGTATCGTTTTCGATACTGAAACATAATGTAGGTCATTGGGCGCTCCCCCTCATCATCTATCGATTTTTATGTGAGTGCTTTTTTTTTAATGTATTAACAATCAAATACAATTCCAAATTCTGTATGAAGTTGAATCTAAATAAATAGATGTGTATTACCCGAGAATAAAAATTAAATTGATTGTAAAAACACAAACAAGCGATTTTCCATTACCACGTAAATTGACTGAAAATCAAAATCGGAGATGTTGCAGAGAATTAAGAAGTGGTCGATTTTTAGGCTTCATTTCGACTATATAGACTTAGATATAAATGTAGGAATTAAACATTTACCCATATTTTAATTAATGTTTCCGCGGGCGATATATTTTTATGTCTTTCGCCATAAAAGCTTCATTATGCTTCCGTTACAGAAATAACTAATTGGTCTTACCTTTGTTTTAATTTGACACCCAATCGGAACTTTGGTTGGGGAAACGTTCGCAAGGATTATTTTAAAGTCAAATAATTTTTGGATCATGTTATGCTTAACAAGTTACAAACGACTTACAAAAAGCGCATTTCCACGTTAACAGTCTTCTTTACGGAACGATTAGTAATCACCGGTTTACCCAAAATGATGACAAGCCGCTATTTGAAAAGCACCTTCTGTTAAAATTTCTAAAAAACGCCTGCAATTAAGAAAGATAATTGGCTCTACGCATTCACCGAAGCATACACATTCCACTATTTGAGGTGTGTTTCAAATTCACTTTTATAGAGCTTCAGTTAAATTTCAGAAATAGTGGCCCACAAATAAGAAAATTATATATGCGCATGAGCAATAATTTTCATTTGCTTTTATAGGCAATATCTCTCGCAGATATTTCAGCAGAATTTGGTCACAAAAATATGACCACGTTTTTTCGTCGGTGCGTTTAGGAAAGCACCTTAAAATTTCTGCAAAATCAGCCTTTAAATGAAAAAAAATGGGTCTGCGCTTATGTTCGAGTTTTCACTAAAGCCTGTCTCACAATTGACGCCAACGTGAACGCTAACGCGAACGTGAACGTGAGCATTTAATTAAAACATGAATATTTACTATTTCCATTCACATATAACGCAACGGGAACGTGAAAACGTGAAACAAACGCGACAGTTGGTCAACTTTTATCTTTCCCGTTCCCGTTGGCGTTTTAAACATGCGCGCGCTTGCGATCCAGCCACATAACCTTTAAAGACCAAACTTAACTATTTTTGTACGAAGTATTGCATGATTATCCGTTTGTTGAATTGAATAGAATAGTCTGTGACTACCACAGAACACATTTTAATAAACAAAATATTCCGTGACAAAACTTAACACTCCAGGAGCGTAACGTTAATTGTGAGACTGCGAATTTGTTCATGTTCACGTTACCGTTTGCGTTTCCGTTGGCGTTTACGTTTGCGTCAATTGTGAAACAAGCTTAATCAAGGATCAAAATGCAATAAGCGTATAGGATTTATAAACACAATAAACTGCTTCAAACCAATATAGACAACAAGACAACGAGTGACAAAGACAGATGTATGGACAGAATGTCCAAATGACCAAAAGTTAATCAGTTAATCATTGGAAAAATTCAAAACCGTTCGCGAGTTATCACATGTCGTTCAAAACCATGAACGAGCTGGGTCGTTCGTTAATAAGGAAGACATACACAAACGCAACATACTTGCAAATGAAATTGGTTTTGTGACTGTGACGTTTCTCCACAGCTCTTCACTGCAGTGAATTTGGTTTTGAATTTGTATTTTATAAGAAAAATTTCCACATGTATCGCTTCATAGCAAACGTGAACGAAAGTATGTCTGGCGATAACAAGAAAAGTATTGCGGAAAACGAGCGCGGTTGCCACGATCTCTTCGTACCTAAGTTTCGCTCCGTTCTGTTTGAAGCCGAGCGAGTTATGAAAATGCGGGTTTTCTATTGGTTGTTAGGGCAGGCCAGACAAGGTCATTTACGTAAGTTACATAAGTTACATAAATAAAATTTTGTATATAGCGGCATACGGAGGAGAGTTTAAAAACAATTAATCGGTGCATTTACTCGCAACAAAAAACCTAGTTACTTAATAAATTATGCAAAATGACTATGAGAAATGTTGTGGGAAATAATTTTAATATTCCTAAAGAAGTCACATTATTTGCGTGAAGCAGATGTTGTATTGTATTTTTTGATAAGAATCGAATCCGCACAAAGGATTTTTAGTTTTTTTGGTTAATTGATTGGAATTTTGCATTTAATTTCAGTAATACTGGTCCTTTGGTTGGATTAAAAATGTATTTTAAACAGGAAAAGGGGCCAAAAAGTTATTGGCCCGTATGACTAAAGGAAGCAAATGCTTATACTTGCAAAATTCAAAGTACATACTCGTAACTGCCCCTTCAGACTGGTCTGTTTAGTATGGTTTAGCAGCGCTGCACTGCATCCTGTCCTGCTGCTCAGCAGCGCTGCTAAGTCACCCAGTGTGAAGGAGCACTTACGAGTATTTACTTTGAATTTTGCAAGTATAAGCATTTGCTTCCTTTTATTCATATGGGCCATTGTGTATAGAAAAATGACAGTTTGATAAGATTCAATGGATACGTGATCACGAAATAGTCATCGCATTTTTTGTAAGTATTTCTTTTTATGAATCTAACTAATATTTTACATCAAGGAACGTGTAAAGAAAAATGGAATTTGATCGCCCTTATTTTCATTGATATATTTAATCAACTAAGGTCATAAACGTATTTATTAGAGTTCAAAATTAATTTGTCAGATTAAAATTTTTGCCAGTACCGCAGAGGTTCAATTTTATTTTATGCAAGTGAGGTATTCGACCCTCCGTTACGCAGTGCATTCCAGTCAAAACGAGCAACTCTGAATGACTCTGCAGTTGATATTGAGACTATAAAAAATCATAGAATTCGTCAATTTTGGTTTTCTGTGGTTTCTCCCCTCCCCACAACAACTCGACGTAAACAATTTCAAATGGAAATAATAGTCTAGGGACACCTTATTTGAAATTTGAAATTCTGTATCCAACCCTGTAAGAGTTTTTACCTTACAACGATAAATTATGTTAAAGTTTTTATTCAATTCGAAAGGTCGACTATTCTAAATTTTTGACGTGCCTATCGTTATGAGGAGGAAGTAGCTCACAAGGGTGTGATTTTTATGTAGAAATGCCCCGATTGTTTTACAGTTCTAAATCAAATGATTGTTAAGGGAAGGTCGTTTTAATTGTAATGCAGGATACAAACATTTTTCGACTGCAGAATGCAATTTGAATAATTTTTACATCAGAATGATGATACTATTTTTTAAGAATCGTAACCCGCATCTGGTTTTGGGTACCGTTCGATTTTAAACATGGGGTTTTAGGTAGTTAGTAAACAATTATGGAAAACGAACGAGACACTTTGAAGGAAGCATGAAATGCGGTGAGGGTAGTTTTACGGAACGTAAACAACATTTTCTTACCTGTGGTGCCTATGTGCCCAGAATTTTTGATTGTAACAAAACATCAAAAATAATCCAGTACGAGCACGAAAAAAACATAAATAATTGTAATATATGAACTATATAGATACACACAATTTGAAACAATTTAATCACTGCTTGGCCTTCTGCATATTACAATTGGATTGGAGGGATTGATATAATAATATAAAGATCATAGCATCATGGTACACGTCATCGCGGTCATATCGTAAGCAAAGCTAGAGTAATGACACAATTTCCGATTTTCTCGTTGTGTGGTTAAATTTAGCGCAATCTCGACCCATAAGATCGTTAATTCATGATTAAATGTTGTATAAATAAATGCAAAAAACTTGTGAGCACGGAATACAAGAATTATTATAAACAACACCACGTAAATTTCACAAAAAGGTTTAATTACTTAAAGGGCAAGTATTTTCCAAAAAATACACGATATGATGATTGAAACACATGTTGTAATAATTTGTATAATTGTAGTATGATAAATGCACACATCTGTGTAATAAACTAATGAATAAATGCGTCCTCTCAAGTGATGTGTAATTTGGAATCGCGTTTCGTATCATCTCTGCTTAGCAACTGGGATTCGGCTTCTATAAATTAAAAAGTATCAAACCGTTGATCTAAAAACTATTTGGTTTAAGTTTAATGTTTATCATC